AGAAGCAAGTGAGGAAAGATCGATGCCTCGTGCCATTTGGGGAACTCGGAATAGTCTGCATGGTTCCAGCCCTGTGCCAGTTCTGCGCATGGCTCAGCACAGGCTACAGTAAGCTTAAAGATCACTGACCTCGGCACCGAACCGACTGTGCCTTTCTGAAATCTTTGAAGGTGAAAGAGTCGGAGAGCTCCTCCAAGACCTACTTCAAGCAAGCGGCTGCTTGAAGCACGGGTCAGGCTTATTCCCAATAGCGTGTTAGTACGCAATGAAACTGTGCAAAGGGGACCGTCATTTTAAATATGTATTATGTGTATGTATTATATATATATACATATATATATATATAAGTATCCAAATATGAACTGCATGTATAAGTATATATGTCAAGAGGAACCGTATCAAAAAAAGCGTTATATATGTACAATGCAGATATGTGTACATATATATATATATATGATACATAATTCCAATTTGACATGTTGCACGGGCCGGGCCTCGTCCACCTGAGCCCCGTCCACACCTTGCAGCCATGGGAAGGGACACCTGAACCGAGTCGGTAGATTCGGTAGATGGTTTAGGGTTTAGGGTTCGAGGGTTCGGAGGCGGGTTAATAACAATTCATGAGGGAACTGAGAACTTCCGAGCACAACGTCAGACTTGACGGTGCCTTGCGTCTGGGAGCGCAGATGCGAGGTGCGACTCCACCTCGGAGAACCTGGCATGGCAAAGAAGGAGAGTGTGCTCACAGAAATGCCTCCAGACTTCTTGTGGAAGTTGGCTCCTCTGACAAGTCACCGAGAAAGAGACGGGCACCAGCCCACACATCTCAGCACATCTCAAATTTGGAACCGCGCAGGGGCCGACCACCAGTTCAATGCCTCCACATCTGCACGGTCGATCTCCAAGCTCGGCCAGGAGACCCTGATCAAAGCTCAGCTCGCCCAAGGGGTTCAGGAGCTGGTTCAGGAGCTTTAGACTCGGTCGGGATAATCATCAACCCTGTCCGGCGCAAATTCCTCCGCAACGGAAAGCCTCTCCTTGGCCCTAAGCCCTGAACAGCAACAGAGGGGGAAGCCCTAGAGCCCTGAAGCGTCGCTGCGTGCGAGGCGTTAGCAAGGCAACTGGGGATCCAGGCCTCAGCTCGGGTTGGCCGAGATACCCTGACCTGCTGGGGCACTTGCAGTCCCACAGGGAGCCTTTACTCTCCAGGCCTCCTTTGGAGCCTGAGACTCTCAAAGGGCACTGTAAAAGCTTAACCTATGCGGCAATCACGACAACGAGTCCGGCGTATCAAAGGCAGCGCATTCAGAGGACTTTGCCAACTCTGCTCACCACCCCAGCCTGGGCGTGCTCTGCGAGTGGCGCGATGCACCTGCCTTCCAACAACAGCTGAGTGTGAATGGAGCCAAACATCCCTATTGAAGCAAATGCTTGTACTGCCAGCGCTCACAACCACAGCTGAAGCTACGCACTGCAGAAGGTTGGCCAAAGCCGTCCC